TGGGAGAAAAGCCTATTCTTGCCTACAGACAACCTCCAACCCTGAAGCGAATTCTTTCTGGTAACCATGCCACACAACCACATCATAAGCATCCAGGAATCCAGCCCTGCCACCAAACGCGATGCCTACTCTACCCACATATCTATTCTAGTGAATTCATCACTGGAGCCAACAACATAAGCTACCAAATCAAAACGTCATTTGACTGCACATCCAGTAATTTGATCTATGCTGTCAAATGCCAGCAATGCCCTACTGCTATATATATTGGACAAACTGGACAATCTCTGCGGGAAAGAATCAATGGACACAAATCAGATATACATAAAGATAACATACAGAAACCTGTTGGGGAACATTTCAGTCTTCCTAATCATGGTTTAAAAGATCTTCAAGTGGCTGTCTTGTCACAAACTAATTCTACTAGCCAGATATACAGAGAAGCATTGGAATTAGAGTTCATCCTTTGGTATATATGGTTGTGACTATTTTCTTCCACTATTTGATCTGAGGAAGTGGGTCTGGCCCACGAAAGCTCATCATCTAATATACCATCTTGTTAGTCTTTAAAGTGCTACATAGTCCTGTATTTTGTTCCAAATATGCCATACTCCACCACCATTTGCGCCCTTTTTATAACCAGTGGGTAGCAATTACCACTGACTGCTGGGTCCTAGAGATCAAGTGCAGACATTCCATTCCCCTTATTTCAGTTCTTCCCACCCTCCCTATCCTTCTTCAGGGACCCCTCTCACAAAATGGTGCTTCTTCAAGAGGTGCATCACCTCCTACACACAGGAGCTATAGAATAGGTATCCAAGCAATAACAGGGCAGGGGATTTTACTCAATTTACTTCCTCATGGAAAAAAGAATGGATGGCTGGAGACCCATTCTTGACCTCCACCATTTAAATAAATACCTCCGCAAACAATGATTCAAGATGGCCACACTTGTGGCAATTATCCCAACACTGGACGAGGGAAACTGGTCTGTAGCCCTCGATCTGCAAGATGTGTATTTTCACATAACCATACACCCAGAGCACCATACACCTGGTTTCCTCTGCATTACACTGGCTTCAGACCATTTCCAATACAGAGTTCTACCTTTCAGACTTTTGTCTGCCCCCAGAGTCTTCTCCAAGACTTTGGCTGTAGCAGGAGCATACCTTTGTCACAAAGGCATCATGTTATTTCCATACCTAGATGATCGCCTCATTTGCGGCCCTTCACAGCAGGCCACAAGATATGCTCCTCTTGACCAAGGTTTTTTTTTTTTTTTTAATCTCTCAGCCTTATTATCAACAAAAAGAAGTCTACCCTCTGCCTGTCTATCCCTAAAATTCATAGGAGTGCATCTCAATTCTACCACAGCACGAGCCTACTTGCCAAACCGATGTTTCAAAGCAATAAAAACCATGACTTCAACTATGGTGATGAGCCCCACAGTCCCAATATTTACTTGCCTTCGGCTTATGGGACACATGACTCCTACAACATAAATTGTCTGACATTCGCACCTGCACTTCTGGTGCCTTCAGAACTGGCTGCCTTGGTCTACATGCTGTACAAATACCATGTGCACAAACACATCTTGGTTCCCCCCAAGCAGCCATTTGTTATTATGACGGTGGACTGATCCAAGGAACCTCCATGCTGGTGTCCCATTTCATCAGACACAGTCATCCAGCCACATTACCACAGATGAGTTGCCCCTCAGCTGGAGCGCCATTTCCAACATCACTTCACTCAGGGTGAATGGTCCACTCACAAGTCCAGGCACCACATCAGTCTCCTGGAGCTTCGAGCAGTGCACAACACCTGCAAACACTTCCTTCAACACATCCCCTCTACGTGGTCCTAGACTACATTATGTTCCTGCAACAGAAAGGTCTGTCAGTTTCATCACTTAGGGTGCACCTTGCTGTGCTTTCCGCATTCCATCCTCCAACTGACAGTTTCTCCTTGTTTGCTCAACCTGTTTCTAAGAGATTCCTCAAAGGGCTACATAACCGGAATCCACTGTGTAGACCTATTCCTCTCCTGTGGTATTTGGAATTATCGGTCAATGCGCTATCCAGATTGCTGTTCGAGCCCATAGCCAAATGCTTGATGTACCTGTTAAAACTAAAGACTGTAATTTCTAACAGCAATTACTTTGGCAAGGCGAGTTAGTGACATTGCCGCTCTCGCAGCATCCTCTCTCTAAACCATATTCCACAAGGACGAGGTGGTTCTCTGATCCCCACCCTTCCTTCCTGCCTAAAGTTTGTTCTGATTTCCAAATCAACAAGCCTATCATTCTTCCAGCCTTCTGCCCAAAGCTTCATGCTTCTCGAGAAGAGGCTATTCTACACACTCTGGAAGTCCGAAGGGCATTATCATTCTATATCTACTTAACACAGCCCTTCCGAAAATCACAGATGCTATTTGTTTCACTGGCAGAGTGTTCCAGGGGAATCCCACCATCATCACACCATGTCTTAAAAGTGGTAACATCCTGCATTCTCCATTGTTACTCCCTCAGAGGCACACCTCTTCCTATGTCTCTTAGGGTGCACTCTACTCAAGTGGTGGCAGCATCAACCACTTTCCTGAAGGGCGTTCCCTCACAGGTATCTGTCGTGCTGCTACCTGGTCCTCTAACCATACTTTAATGAAACACCACACAATTTCTACACAAGCAGACACCAACTCCGCGGTAGCCAGTGCAGTCCTTTCATCTCTATATAAAACCTAGCAGAAGCCCACCGTCCATCTTTGGGTACTGCTAGGTAGTCACCAACAGTGGAGTACCCATGGGAATATCACTCGAAGAAGAAAGGAAGTTACTCACCTTGTACAGTAATGACAGTTCTTCGAGATGTGTGTCCCCATGGGTTCTCCACTACCCACTCTCCTCCCCTCTTCAGTTTGACACATCTAGGAGGGTGTTCATGAAGAAACTAAGGGGAGTTGGACCACGTGTGCGAGCTCCAAGGGTATGAATGGCACGTGCCACTTTAGTTCATGCACAGCCCAACTAGATTCTGCTAGAAAAAGTCTTCGATCTGCAGCACAGGACGATCCTAGCACCAACAGTGACCCATGTGACCCATGGGGGGACACATCTCAAAAAACTGTTGTTATTGTATAAGGTGAGTAACTTCCTTTTCCACATGGTCTCCCTGACTTCTGTCATCCAGTCACTGGATCCATCGTACTGGTATGGTGCCTTCGACTTGTAGGACACATGCTTCTGCACAGCGATCACTTAATGTCATGGGAAATACCTGAGAGTTGTGGTGACCAACACCTACTAGCAATTCATGGTCCTGCCAGTCGCTCTGTCTTCAGATTCTTGTGTCTTCACAAGAAGCATGATAGTCGTTGCAGCATTTCTATGCAGATGACATGAGGAAGTGTTCTTTTACTTAGACAACTGGCTGATCAAGGGCAGTTCCAGATCCCAAGTGGAAGCACAGATCCTGTTTATCAGAGCTACTTTCACAGCCTAGAATTTATAGGGGCAATTCTGGACTCAAACCAGGCCAGGGCATATCTACCAGAATTGAGATTTCAGCCCCTGACCAGCATCCTCCAAAGCCACAGGAAGCTACCTGAAACTTCTCAGACACGTTATTTACATAATGGTCATCATCAACATGGAAGCATGTCTTCTGGAATGCTGGCTGAAGTGTGAATTGTCATACGAATGTTTAACATTTCTGGTGCATAAATACCTTGCCACACCAGCTACAAAAGTGTTATGTAAATGCCTGTTCTCACTTTCAAGTAACATTTTTCTAAAACACAAGGCAGCCTTATCTCCTGCAAATGTAAACAAACTTTTCTAAAACACAGGGCAGCCTTATCTCCTGCAAATGTAAACAAACTTGTTTGTTTTAGTGACTAGCTAAATAAGAAGTAGGATGGAGTGGTTTTGTAAACTCTAAAAGTTTAACATTGTTTTTGTTTTTTAGTGCAGATATGTACAAAACATATACATTTGTAAGTGGCACTTTCACATTAGAGAGATTGCACTACATTACTTGTATGAGAAGAACTAAAATATACAATTTTTTTTATTTAAAATTTTACATTGAAAATATTTGTAATCAAAACATGAAATGAATACTGTACCCGTTGCATTTTGTATTGCACTTAAAATTAATACATTTGAAAATAAAGAAAAACATCAACATATTTAATAAATTTCACTTAGTAGTCTAACAGTGTGATTAAAACTGCAATTAATTGTGATCAATTTTTATACCAATTAATTTTTAGTTGATCCCATTAATTAACTGTGATTAATCAGCAGTCTTAATAGTCATTCCAACATTTAGTATGATATAGCGTTACATTTACTGCATTTTTATTTTTTATTTTTACTAACCTAAATTAATTTCCAAGTCTACTACCTGATGTGACCACAATTTGAATATGTAATTTAAACAGTGTAATATGATGTGCATTGATAAAACAGTTTTAAATAACAGAAAATGTATTGAATCGGACTAACTAGTTTTTCTCATATTAGTAAAAGCCATGATTTTGCCTTGGTAAAAATCACCTCTGGGGAATAGTATACCATCCCTGGTTAAACATGAAAATTCCAAAATCTGTATGCACCAAATCAATTTAACCTCTCAAAACATTGTAATTAAACAGATTTTCACTCTGGTTTCCAGGACTTTTCTTTTTGTAGTATCTCTAAAGAATAGAGTTTTTCCTGTCCTTCTCTACCGCCCTGTTGATTAATTAAAATTTTTATAGTTGTAAATTGTTATCTTCATGAAATCATCTGAGCAATATTATAACTCAGATAACTAGTATTAAAAGAATCTGTCTAGGACACATTTTATGGACACTAAGTAAAGAAAGCAAAGCAGTTTAAAAATAAATACATTTTCCAGAAAAGAGATTTTGTGCCACATCCACAGCTATAAAAATACTATTTGATGTCACAAGTCAATATGATGATTTCCCAGACATAGTTAAATAATAATTATATTTACCTCAAATCAATGCCAGGGTTTGTTCAGTATTATCAGTCTAAAAAAAAAAAAGAATTGAGATGTCTAAAAATTGTAGAAGGCATTAGCTGTTAGTTGTATTTTTATCTGTAAAGTCAGCCAGAGTTCTTGCTTATCTTCATATCCCTGGGAGGCTGAAGTTGTGAAGTCAAGAAATTTTTTTTTGCTTTATCAAAATTGAGAAAATGTGCTATTTTCCAGTTGAAGTCGCAATCTTGCAGGTTAAAAGATTTCAGTCTGAACTACAGGACTTGAAGAATTAAAGTCTATTAGTTTGAAAACTTCATACACACATGAACATTTGTGAGTGCTCGAACAATAATATTGTAGATATATAGATTAATCAGTTGTTGAATTATCAAATTTGTAACATTGTATTTGACGAGTATTGACGGGAGACTTGGAATATAATGGCTAACAGGTTTGAGTCTGGTTAATTCTTAGATGTGAGATCATGTGAAAATACCTGAAACTTTTTTTTTTTTTTTTTGCTTCTCTTTGATAGCAGCTATGGGCATAACCAATTTTTTTCCACAGTGAGATTGTCCCAGAAGGTGGAAAGAAAGGTGATTTAATTGGACCACAACTTACTACTTAACTCATCTGGAAACTACCTGGAAATAATTTGTACACTCTGGGTATATTGCTTCCCTAATTACTTCGATGGAAGAGCAGCCTTTCATTCTATCACTAGGACCCCATTTACCTTTTCTTGCTCAAGTGTAAGAGGCTGTGGAAATGGGATTCTCTCCTTGCTATAACAGACATTAGGAATCTTAATTCCATTCTCTGCTTTTTATGGGGATGCTTGAAGTCTACTTCCAATTCTGATTTATCAGGGAACCAAACCATGTAGAGAACGAGAACTTGCATTGGACACATGACACTTGCTATATTGTGACAACTTGAAACCTTGCCTCCTGACCTACCCCACTAGGTCTCTAGTCTGCTTTGAGAAGGCAAAAATCTCTATTTCATCCTGATATATGCAATGATGATAAAAGATTTCCTTGGCAGTACCAAAAAGGGCAACTAGAGCAGTGCCCAGTGCAGATCAAAAAACATGCCTTCTCTGATCCTTGGTAGGCTCATCGGAGTGAATGTGGTCTCAGTCTTGATGGACAGGGTTTATATACCTTCTCCAAGGTGCATAGCAGGCTGGAGGGATATAGTTCATATTCCATCCCCCAGATGCACTGGTTCCAGTTGCTTACCAGAGTCCTGCCAGCTTGCCCTCTCACTCATCCCTCGCCTTACTCCAAAAGGGAGAACAGATCCTTAAAGGCCCATTACTGTCTTCCAAGCACTTCAGGCAGGGTCCCCTAGTCTTGAGGTGACAGGAGTTACAAACAGGAGACCTTACTGACAGTGTGATAGTCACTACCCTGTAACATCTGCGTGTTGTCTTTACTTCCTTTTCTATCCACTCACCAACATTAAGGATTTCCAGTACAATATTTGATTACATTAATCCTTTGTCTTCAATGCCCCTCTTACTCAAAAAGGGTTCTTACCTTTACCTTTTCTTTCTGGGTTTCAGGAGGAGGGACGTTTAGTCCATTCTCTCTCCCCTCATGTAGCAGCTGGAAGGAACAATTTAATCCCACCCCATTTCCCAGTCCTTCCTCAGCTTTTCTTCTGTTGTTTGGAGGGCCTCTCACATACCTCTCACTCCTTAGGGATTAAATATTTCTCTGCATGACCTATGTGCTTTCTTCACATAGAACACATCCTGCTACAAAAGTGTTTCCAGTGTTCAGCTAATATTTTACTCAGCTTTACAGTGTGCTTCTAAGGCAGTGGTCTCCAACCTTTTTGTTCACAGTATCATTTTTTTAAATTTAAGGGCTACCCAGGATCTACTCTACCCTTTCCCTAAGGCCTTTTCCCCTCATGAAAGCCCTGCCCCACTCATACCATCTCCTCTCTCTTCTCTGTTCACTCTCCCCCACCCTTGCTCACTTTTGCCAGGCTGGGACAAAAAGTTGAGGCTTATGAGAGTGTGCAGGTTCTCGGCCAGGGCTGAGGAGTGAGGGTGCAAGAGGGGTTAAGGGGTGTAGGAGGGGCTCTGGGCTGGGCAGATTGGAGTGCAGGTGAAGTATAAGGTGCTAGATAAGGTGGTGTGAGGGATGTGGGGGGCTCTGGAAAGGGGCAGTTCCCTATTCCTGGCCATTGGGCACCACCTAATTGTTGGGAAATAAAATACCAAGATATGATATATATTTTTAAAAAGTTACCATATGGATAATCCAGTTGGGACAGGTTAGGCATTTTAGAACTCACTTCTCAAAGAATTATATTTATGTGTAAGAGAAATAAAAATTAAAATGAAATGCATAGATCAGTCAATCACACCCTTAAAATAACATACTTTGAAAGAATAAAATTACAGAGAATATATGTGCAGTGCAGGAAGTACAGAGTAATAATATCAATACAAGTATGTTTTGGGAGGGGAGTGTGAAAGAGACAGAATGTGTAACCCAGATGGTGTGTGTGTGTGTGTGTATATGTATATATATATATATGTATGTGTGTGTATGTGTGTGTTTGTGTTTGTGAGAGAGACTGTGAGCTCGCTGCTAGGGAAATCTCAGAAATAGTATACTGCTCTGGCACTCACCATTCACAATAGACTTCAAACTAAAATAGCTTCCAGTCCTCCTGTCCTGACTCAGGCTGTCTCCTGTCCCCTGCTTTGCAGAGATGGGGTACAGGGGCAGGAAGAGAGAGAGAATGTGTGCCTGTGTTTGTGTACGCATTTGAAAGACAGCTTGCTGGCTGACTGAGAAAATCTCAAAGAGGGCCCTGTCTCTTTAAGAAATGCAGACAATCTCATACACTCAGGGAGTCCCTCTGAGTCCCAGCCAGTGAGGCTGATATCCCTCTTCCCTACTCTATGGAGACAGAGTACAGGGACAGAGATTGCGATGGACTGACAGAGTCTCCAGGATCGACCAATGGCTTGTGATTGTGGGTTTGGTGACCACTGCTCTAAGGGCAGCAAATAATTTTTAAAAACAAAATGTTTCAAAAGCACTTTTATAAATTGTGAAAAAATAGCTAAAATATAAAAGATTGTATGTGTTGGGTATTGCCACACAGTGTGTTATAATATTTGTTTTTGCTGCTACATGATGATTATTTGATTTCTACTTTCACCTAAACCAAGCAAATAATTCTAACTGTGATATGAACAAAAAGTGCACCTTAAGAAAGGGGACATAGTTACTTTATTTGGGGGGGGGGCTAGACTGAATAAGGAAGGTCATTCTGGATAAATTACCATGATCAGTTTTAGCTAGTTCTAATGAGGTTCTTGATTTTGCATTTAGTTTGATGAAAGAACTACAACATTATAAAACCAGCATTCAAAAATGAGTCTAGCCTCCAAATCATGAGACCAACTTGAAAATAAGTAATTAAAAAAATACTTTTTATTTGTCTTCTGGCATTAGAGTGCACTTACTTCATGTTTTCAAGCTTTTTTTTGCAACTACAAGGGGTAAATAAATTGAGGCTCTCATGCAATATCATGATTCTAGCATTTAAACACTCTCTCTCTCTCATGTATCATGATGAAATCATGAGAAAGTTGGCAACACTGACAAAAGCATTAAGAAGCTATGCATATTAGAAAAATGGAACTGAAAAAGGAAGGTTTCAAGAATAAAATTATAAATTCTATGTATATTTGAATATACTATAATTAATAGAAACATAGTCACTGCATCACACCAATTGACACAGATTATAGTTAGCTGCAAGAGTCCTTGAAAAATGCGTTTAGAAATCCTGAGAGGTTGATTTTATTATTAATAAAAAAGTCAATTTAAATCTTACTTTATCCCTTTTGTACAATGTATTTTTGTTTAATGTTTTTATAAAAGCCCATGAATATCATGGATTGGAATAGCTGTACTTAATTACAACAGTTAAATAAACACATACAAAGACGTGAAACATGATCCATGTAAATATATCTTCAAATTACTTTGAAAGCATGCAGTTTAAATGATAATTCATACCTGATTAAATTTTTCTCTGGTTCTAAGATAATGATGTTTCACAAATCTTTTAAAGATAACAAAATACTTACGCTCGCATATAATCCTCTTAAAAACTACTGTTGAAAAGGTCTGTGTCTTCTGAATTGTTGTAGTGAAGCACTAGACTTGAAGGGTAATTTTCTATAGAAGATTATGGGGTAGATGAAAATGATGTGTCCCTTTTTGTTGCACAAGCTGTCTTGGATACAAATAAGGTTTCATTTTGTGACTTTGGTTAAGTTTATGTGGTTTAATCTCATTCTCTCTCTCTCCTTTTGGTTTGAAGTATGGTAAAAATGTCCTTAACATGAAGGGAGAATACAGCTTAAATTTAACATCATGTGCTGAAGGAAGTTGGACTGATCATGCCAAACACTTTTTCCTTTCTTTCTGTTTGTTTACTTAATTGTAAAGTCCAATAAAATTAGGCTGGAATCTAGTGTTTCTACTACAATTTGTAAAATTTTATTAGTTGGAAGATGAACATTTTTATTTTTAATTTATGTTACAGTTCAATTGCAGAGCAATAGAAAAAGATGTTCTTCAGGCTGAAACTTAATCTTGGCCAGAATAGATAAAAATCTGTTTAAAAAAAATCAAAATCGATTTTTTATATTTAATTCTGAATTTTTTGAAAAAATGCTTCTAAAGATGGTTTTAATGAAGATATATTATAGCTCAAAGATATTTCATCATGGAATAGGGATTATAAATTCTAGTCCTATAGTATGAGACAATATATTCATGTAATGCTTAAGAAAAGTTTTATAAATGAGTTCCATGGATTAGGAATTCGATCTAATGGGGTTCCAGAGGCTTTTGTTTATATTATTTAGGTTAATCTTTCTATCTATCTAGTGGGAGTCAGTGCTCAGTCTAGAAAATACCATCAGAGATGCTTAGTTTTATAGTTCTCAAACTGTGGTTTAACATGCTTGTTAATAGCAAAAATGTTTATTAATAAATAATAAATACATAAATTATGGGGATGGAATAGATCTGGACAAGGAGAAGAAGTCTGGAGATAAATGTGAGAAGGAAAGGATAGGCAGTGGAAACAAAAGTGAAACTGTTTGAGCAGCATATTCCAGAAGTCTTGAGGTCTTTCTGAATGTAGCCTTTATAACAGACCTGCACAACATACAGCCCGCGGGCCGCATGCGGCCCGCAGGTTCTCACTGTGCGGCCCGTGACGACTATGGGTGGAGTGGCCCCATCTGATCCGCCGGCCGGGCGGAGGAGCGGAGCGCCACTGGGGAGGGAGAAGTGTGGTGATTCTCACCACCGGGCTGCCTGCATGCAGCTCCGGCGTGAGGAGGCGGGGCGTGAGCCAGAGGGCGGGATGCTGGCAGACGCCAGGACGCTGGTGTCATGGCATCATAGCCGGTGACCGCCGGATTCAAAAAGGCTCCGGCAGCCCCGAAAACTGGAAGGCAGAAGCCAGGTAGGGGAGAAGAAGGGGCGTGTGATGAAGGGGTGGGGAGCAGGTCAGGAGAAAGAGAAAGGCACCAAAGGATAGGGTGCAGGAGAGACAAATGCCAGGGGGCCAAGTGGAGACAATGAGGAAAAGGGCGGGAGGGGGGACGGTGATGCTGGGAGAGGAGAGGGTAAGGGCATTGGGATTGGCCATGGGGCAGGGGAGCAGCAGTGCGGCCGCAGCCCAGATCCAGGCTACACAGGCTCTCTTGACCACCCCTACCCTACACTGAAGTGGGGTTGCTGGGTGTCCAGTATTCAACCAGACAGTCTGGTTTTTGGCGCTCTGCTCGGAAAAAATAATTCAGAAAATATCAGACATGTGCAATGTCCGGTATTTTCTAAATGTCCGGCTGCGCACTGGACGGAAGCCTGGTGGTGCCTCCTGTGGCGGGGTGGGTTTTTTTTTTTATGCCTGACTGTTGTTTTTTTTTTTTTTTAAAGCCCATGTGTTCAGTATTTTTTGGAAGAGCATCTGGTAACATGGGCAGCAGGTTTGTATAATTTTTGGTGGTGCCCCATGAGTCATACCTCCTGGCCCCCGTTGGCCACGCCCCCTAGCTCCCGTTGGCCACGCCCCTTCCCCCCGTTAGCCACGCCTCTGGAGGTAACATGCTCGGAGCAAGATGGACACATGACCAGAAGTAAACGATGTCATGTCACCCCTCTCAAAGGGCTTTTCCCACCATCCTCCTACCAACAGGGATTAGTTTGGCCCCCAACTAACCCTCCTCATGCAACTATCCTGCAGTTGCATTAACCCAATTTGTGTGACATTAACTTGGGGGAAGAGAGGCTGCGGGAAGTGTTCACTCTAAGGCTATGTCTACACTAACAGCTTCTTGTGCAATTACAGCCGTTCTTGCGCAAGAACTCACAGAGCATCCACACTGCCCGCCTGCTCTTGCACAAGGAAATTTACAGTACGGCATGGTAAGAGAGGGCATCTTGTGGAAGAGCTACACTCTTTTCTAACAGGTATAAGCTCTTTTGTGTAAGAGGGCAGTGTAGATGCTCAGCAGGGATTTCTTGTGCAAGAAACCCCTATGGCTAAAATGGCCATCGGAGCTTTCTTGGGCAAGAGAACATCCACGCTGCCATAGATGCTCTTGTGCAAAACCACAGCTCACACATGGCAGTGTTGACGTGTTCTTGCTCAAGACTTCTTGCAGAAGAACTCTTGTGGCCTGCAGCTGTTTTCTTTGGAGTAATATGGCCTTCGCCGCTTTCCGAGTTGTGCAGGCCTGCTTTATAACCATGCCATTCTCTCACTAAAAGGGAAACCCTATAATGGCAGTAGTCTGTAAAAGAGACCCAGTTTGGGAATATTTTATTGAAGTTCCTCTACCTGTGGTAAGACAGGCATGTGTGAAAAATGCAAACAGTGCAACAAAGAAATTCAAGACTTGGTTGCCCTAATGAAACAACATCATGAGAAGTGTTCCTTCTCAGGAGGAAACTACGTGAAAACAATGAAAGGTACATGGTTCAGTATG